TGGTGTGATATTGTTCAATTTTATTTTGTTTTTGATTAAAATAAAGTTAATGAATTAATTTAACATACTGTAGGGACTGCATAATCTTATTTTATGAAAATATTTATAGATAGATTGATAGTAGTTATAGGTACACCTCCGATCTTATCTGAGAACTGTCTATTTTTATGTATTTGCATCTCTATTATTTAATGAAAAATAAAATTATTTAAGTTGGAGCCGGGGATACGGACTGTAGCGCAACCAGAGAAAGGCGACAGAGACAGTGCTGCGGCTGGTGATGTTGAAATTAAAATCATATCCAAAGTTGATTCCTCATTAAGATAAGCCAAAGTTATTCAAAAGGGTATGTAAGAAAATATATTTTCTTTAGTTTTGTAAAATATATGTGCCGTTGAAAGCTTTTGTTTTATCCTTGATTATTAATCAGGCTGCTCCAGCTGCCCCGCCCCTGACAGCTGCCGCGCCGTCGTCTGCTACTGATAGTCCAGCTTCTCTTGAACCGCGTCTGTAGAGCCTTCCTGACTCAGTGCGAAATTCATTTTGAATTACAGCCCTCTGCGTTTCCTTCTGATCGAGCCAAGGTGGCCTATGTAATCTCTCTGTTAGCGGGAAAGGCCAAATTATGGGGAACGTCAGAGTGGTTGAATAATCCTGAACTCTGCAGCTCTTATAATAATTTTTCTTTGGAAGTAATCAGAGTTTTTTGCCCAGTATTCTCCTATCCCTGCAGAGATCTGCCCTGCAGCAGACACGCAGCCCCGCGCACCTGTTGGTGTTTAATAAACGTTTTAAACTTTCCCACTGCCTGTCTCGCCTCGAATTCTGGGTCCAATATTCTCATTATTATCATTACATTTTTACAGGTTTGCTTAAAAAGATTTATATAGTAGCCCATAATATAATAGTGAAACATAAAGTCAGGAAAATGTCTCATAGAAAATGTTTTTTATTTGCATTTCAAATCAATATATTACTGATAGCAAATGACATGTATCTCTTGGCCCTGGGAATATTACATGCCAGTCGCTGCTCCATTCAAGGCTACAACCTCATCGTTGTCTTGGAAAAACCGATGTGTAGACATTTACCCTCTTGTTCTCTGACAATAGAGTTCAAGCACCGCTATAGTAGTAGCGGCATTCCTGCATTAAGTGGTTTGCTTAATTAATTGGTGATGTTTAGAACAGGATGACATAGAGGAACCCATTATATCCAGATTACGTTCTGGTCATACGTGGTTAAATAGTACATGATTTAAAATGGGAATAAACCGGATTAGCTCACTAACTTGCGCGTTGATCACATAACTATGTTTTTCTCTCCAAAACACACAACTGCACCGCAGGCTTTGGAAGAAAAATCCAATCCATCACGGCGGGGCGGTGCTGATCCCCGCAATATTAACCCTTCATTTCGTATTGATGATTAAAAGTATTTATAACTACATTATTTTACAGTACAGTACAGTAGTTAACATTTATACCGTACTTTTATTTGTTAAACAAATGCTTGGGCCTGTATAAAGTTTTTATTCCCTGATTTCAATGTTGTAAGGAGTATTTCATCGTATGATAACTCTAAAAAAAAAAAAAAAAGGTTTCTACTTCACGTATTTCACCTATCGCTGGTTCTTTTTGGAATGTAACCTCCGCGGTAAACGAGGGTTCACTGTATTTAAAATGGAAATACTCCGGATTAGCTCACTGACTTTTGGGTGGGTCACAACCATCCCTGACAACAGTTTAGAAACGCCGCTATTCATCGCGGCAGCAAGCAGCATTCTTGCATAATGTGCCCAAAAAGCCTGGGGGGTTGGGCCTTTCATGCTTGTTGTAAGGCATCATAGCGTCCTTTTCCAGATCAAACTGAAAATTTTACCAGCTAGATGATAATAAAAATAACAAAAATAGTATAACAATACGCCTATTATTATCAGAGTAAGATATTGAGGCTGTAGAATGATAATCCCTATGGTCTAATGAAATTCCTTGGAAAGATGGAGCGCACATCAGCTGATCTAAATAAAAGAAAGATGCCATAAAGTCAAACAGCATAATAGGCTACTATCCGTAATATATATAAATAAGTTAAAGAAGTTATTGTACAAACACACAAAAACAATGTAACACACAAAAACAAAGCTTTCAACGGCACATATATTTTACAAAACTAAAGAAAATATATTTTCCTACATACCCTTTTGAATAACTTTGGCTTATCTTAATGAGGAATCAACTTTGGATATGATTTTAATTTCAACATCACCAGCCGCAGCACTGTCTCTGTCGCCTTTCTCTGGTTGCGCTACAGTCCGTATCCCCGGCTCCAACTTAATTAATTTTATTTTTCATTAAATAATAGCGATGCAGATAAATAGAAATAACAGTTCTCAGATAAGATCGGAGGTGTATCTATAACTACTATCAATCTATCTATAAATATTTTCATGAAATAAGATTATGCAGTTCCAATGTTAAATTAATTCATTACCTTTATTTTAATCAAAAACAAAATAAAATTGAACAATATCACACCAAGATCCCCAATAAACCTGCTTTTCAGTTGACTGCAGGCCCACAAACGTACAGACACGGTGTCTCTGACTAAAGGAGCTGGTCAGCTCCTCTTTTTATACATGGGAGACTCATGCGTGAATGTCCAACGAATAACTCCAATTGTTGTTTCAAAAATAGAAAACCTGGTTTCATTCTAACTTTCATTACTTTATAAAAAAAAAAAAAAAAACATTTAAGGCAACGCGGCCACAGTTGGGATTGAACCCACAAGCTGTTAGTCTACAGACCACTAAGCTTAACCACTGCGCTATAAGTTCGCAACACGTGACAGCCATCCCAGTCTGCTACTTGACCAGACTGGGAGGGGTGTCACGTATTGCACGGCAAGAAAGTAACACACAAAAACAAAGCTTTCAACGGCACTTATATTTTACAAAACTAAAGAAAATATATTTTCCTACATACCCTTTTGAATAACTTTGGCTTATCTTAATGAGGAATCAACTTTGGATATGATTTTAATTTCAACATCACCAGCCGCAGCACTGTCTCTGTCGCCTTTCTCTGGTTGCGCTACAGTCCGTATCCCCGGCTCCAACTTAATTAATTTTATTTTTCATTAAATAATAGCGATGCAGATAAATAGAAATTACAGTTCTCAGATAAGATCGGAGGTGTATCTATAACTATGCAACCATTTTCATAAAAGATTATGCAGTCACTTGACTGCATAATCTTATGTTAAATTAATTCATTACTTTTATTTTAATCAAAAACAAAATAAAATAGAACAATATCACACCAAGATCCCCAATAAACCTGCTTTTCAGTTGACTGCAGGCCCACAAACTACAGACACGGTGTCTACTGCAAGTCCCTGACTAAAGGAGCTGGTCAGCTCCTCTTTTTATACAGGCTCATGCGTGAATGTCCAACGAATAACTCCAATTGTTGTTTCAAAAATAGAAAACCTGGTTTCATTACTTTACATTCTAACTTTCATTACTTTATAAAAAAGCGATAATAATTATAATAAAAAAAAAAAAAAAACATTTAAGGCAACTCAGCCACAGCTGGGATTGAACCCACAGTCTATTGAACCAAAGACCACTCAGCTTAACCTCTGCGCTATAAACTCGCAACCCATGACACCCCTTCCAGTCTGCTACTCGACCTATGTAATTCTGACTCATGGGACGCCGAAATGGAGTCAGACTGCCACCTAGTGGCTATAGTAGTCACATGTTTTTCACACAATACGTGAAACACGCGGAGCGTGAGTGAAGTGTCCATTTCCAACCAGCGCCCACTGTAGACGCATATTAAAAACCAATCAAACATACACTAAGTTATCACACAAGTATATTTATAAGAATGTCAACTAGGGCTGGTTAAAAAATTGATTTAATCGATTTTGGATCGATTCCTTTACATTTTTGCAAAATCGATGTCTAGGAAATGAGATGGATTAGTTTTATAGTGACACGTGTGACGTTCACAATCAAATGAGCTGGAAAGATGCACTCAAGACGACTTCAAGCCAAACAGCTGCAAATATAAGTTGACTGAAGACATTATCAAATGGGGGCTGAGCAGCAAACACCCTGTAGTTGTTACAGACAAGGCTGCAGCTCATGCAGCTCACACGTCTGCCGTGTCCCCTCTGTGTCACGTCGGCTCGCTCCAGCGAGGCTTCACTTTTTCACAAACAAGTTTTTGAGACAGTTCTGTTTTGTTCACATGTCAAGTTTAAACTGTCTGATTTACAAGTTTGCACTTAGTGTTTAATATGACAGGAAAAGATAAAATACAGGAGCATTTTTAAACACAGCTGAACCACTTTCATTATTGTAAAAACAGATCAAATGGAAATTAATCGATTTAGAACTGTATGAATCAAAATGAATCGATTCAGGACTTTGGCGAAAATACCCAGCCCTAATGTCAACAACAAAAAACATAAAAACCAAATTTCATGAACAGCTTTACATTTTGTCCATAAATCTTGCCCTTCTGAGGCTTTGTGAAGGAAACTGTGTTTTGCATGGTCCAATATGATGTCACAAACCTAAAAAAATAATGTACCAGTTTACTAAAAGAGAATCTATTAGTCAGCTTTATATCTTTTTAATATATAAAAACTATTTATTTTCTGACAATGTGTTTATTTATGAGCAACTATGCAGATTAACAAACATCTAGAAAAATGACAGTATATGATATTATTTCCATGTCAATCCCAGATTGTTTAATCTTCTTTGCCTTTTCTACAAAGTGCTTTAAATCAGTCCTAGCTGTCTTTATCCATGCTGACTCAGATCCTGATGATTGAAAAAGGAGGCAGGGAAAGCAGGATAAAGCTACATGCTGCTAGCCAAGCCTTCTTGCTAAACCAGGTCTTGGAAAAAGATTTTTCTTGCACTATTTCCCTCTCTTTCCCTCCAATGCATCTCCAACCCGACGACTCGAGCTGTAAATTACCTGCAAAACGTCAGCGCTGTGGAGGAATGTGGAGAGGAAATACACTTCCTGTCAGCTACGTACAAAGGTATAGGAGAGCTCGGGGCACAGCTTTCCTGCGTCCTGAGCTCTCCTATACCTTTCTATTGCAGAGGAGCTATTGTGCAGGTACAACTTTTAATGAGAGTCAATGGCAAAGATTTTTGCGCCCCAGGGCTGAAATACGTTAGCCTGACGTAGTCCTACTCAATTCTAGTCAGAATGAGTCTGATGCTGCTCCATAGAGCTGTGATTATGGGGCGTGTTTTGAACGAACCAGGAAAAAAAATGCCTCTGCACTCAATTGGATAGACATACAACCAATAAGAGCAACGGAGTGCGTGACGTATGTTAAGCGACGCATAGTTGTTGTCAACAATAATCAAAGCAGTTGCACGCCTAGAATAAGAAGATGAGCCTTGATCGCGTTTCTCTGTTCCTCTTTTAAAGTTAATTTGCTGTCGATATCTTCTAGAACAGACCTAATAGCAGAATCTACTCACCTCAACTCTCCGGCGGCAGCCATTGTTGTTGTCACCCAAGCGCGCTTTGGTCACATGGTTGATTACGTTACTGTTGATCATCTGTCCATCATCGTATAAAGCCCGCCCTGACAATTTGATTGGATCGCCAGAGGGTGGGCGATCATACTCGCGCTACTGTGGAGCAGAGCCAGACCGAACTTCCCGACCTCAAACCTTGTGGGCGGGACTAAGTTCGGAATGGCACACAGGCTAGAAATACGTCACCAGTCCAACAGAATATGTAACGATGCTTCACTAGTCATTAATGATTAAATATTTATCTTGCACATCTAAATAATATGTAGAGATCTACTTTGAAATATTTTACGTTTTAATTTAAAATTAAATAACAGAAAAAATAATAACTTTTTTTTGTATGTCTTAATCAGGCTCATTGGGTGTGGGGCGGCGCCCTAGCGCCCTCCATTGGCCAGCCGCCACTTTTTCTACCCTTGATTTCAATGACCTATTAATTAACTATAACTTCCAGTTCTAGTTATTTAATATAGTCATGATCTCCTGGTAAGCTGGAACAACACATTCGATCACCATGTTTACATTTTTTCACTGCTGCACTTTAAAAATGGAAATGTCTTGAGAGCTGTACTGAACAAAATGTCTTTTTGTATACACTCTGATTTTCTCCAGGCAGGATAAGCTGAGTTTCTTCTAAGGGTCTTAACTTGCTTCAGCAGAGGGAAAACCTCAGATCCTGCCTCACATGATTCGTATAAATCCAGTTAAGCATAAAGCGGAGGTCAGCTGTGTGCTTGGTGTTCGGAAACGCAGCCTCAGTTAGTGGTTATAAATCTGACTGCAGGAAGAATAGAAAATGTATCGATCTGTGTGGATTAACGCTCACCACAAACTTTACTGGTTGTAAGCCGCTCTTAACCGGGTTTTTATAGAACCAGTAAATAACAAACAGCTTTGGTTGAAATAAAGCCTCCTTTTTTAGCTGTAGGGTAACCAGGACAAAGGCTAACGGCTAAACTTTTACCTTGATGCTGGCGTCCTTCCTGGCTTGTTCCGTCTTGCTCAGTTCCTTCCTGAGAAGGTCCACCGTCTCCTCCAGGTCCCTCCTCTTCTGCTCCTCCAGCTTCAGCTCCTCCTCTTTAGATCGCAGCTCTGCGTGTAGACCTAACAGGACACAATTACAAATAAACAGCATAAAAGGAGGCATTCCAAAGATTTACAGCCGATATTATCAAACTATAATCGAGTTTAAGGGGCTAAATCACTGCTGCTTCACCACATGAACGGCTCAGACCGACCTGTGATGTCACTGTTTTTGTTCAAGTCCGACTGAAGGGATTTGATCTCCTCCTCTCTTTCCTGCAGCGTTGATGTGATTCTAAATAGCAGAGGGATTAGAAAAGCTTTGGATATTTATTTGGTTCACATACGGAAAGTAAACTACCATTAAAGCCTCCGGCTGTGATGAAGAGTTTCCTACCTGTCCTTCTGCTGCTGAAGCATTTTGTGGTCTTTTTTCAGAGCGTCGTTCTGTTTGTTTAGAGACATGTGAGCTGCCTGCAGCTCCTTCAGCAGACGCTCTGTTTCCTTAAACCTGCACAGTTAAAGAAAAACAAAAAACATCAGATCAGGCATTAGCTTTAAGGTTAACAAGGTTTCGTCTTTAAGATCTGCATCATTAAGCAAACGTTACGACTGGATATTGCGGCTGCATCACCTGTTGATTCTGGTTTATTGTGTTTTCTACCAGGACATAATAGAGTGCTGCCTTTTTCCTTTAGCTGACTAACTTCACAGAAGTGCTGGTTCCATTTTCCAACATGACGTGATACTGACCCAAACTACCAAAGGGACCGGCAGAACCAGCAGAACCAACAATGCAGACGAGCTGAGGGACAATTTTTGAGCATCCTGAGCTTCCTGTACGTTTCAGCAAACCCAGTGGTTCCACACCGCAGTGATGCAGTCAACCACACAAACAGAGCTCAGACCAAGTGTCAAATACAAACTGAGTCCCACCTTAACACTGTAAGGTGTCAATCAGCCATATTTAGTTTATCAAACAGCAAAGGTAGAGACAGCCCTGACAAAAGCTGCTGAACAGCTTGGAGCCAATTGCAGGAAAAGACTGATTTCTGCAGCTGCGTAGCTGGCGGAGCACAATTTTTCCAGAGTTGAATGCGCGCAAGACACGTATTGATTGAGTGTGTGTGAGATGTAAACATTGCACATCTGTCTCACCTCACTCTCAGGTTGCCCATGGCTTACAGCCCCTGGTACGCAGTACTGGGTCATTCCGGCTTATTTTTTGACAAACTAAACATCTTAAAATTATTCCTATAACGCCCAAACACGTTTTATTCTTTCTGATAAGGTCACAGCATTAAAGGAATAGTACACCCAAAACATGATTAGCCTTCATTTTCTACTCACCCCCATGCTGAAAAACACTCTGGAGTACTTTTTTGATATCTCAAATGCATCTGGAGATCTGGGAGGCTTCTTGCTGTCTGCTGACATTCAAATAATGGAGGTCTTCTGCGATTTGAAAATTGCATTTTTCTAAAATGCGATTATATTCCAAAAGCAATTTATGGCCCAGCCCTAAACCACAGTAGTTTAAAATTCTTACTTTGTCTTGATGCCATCACGAAGTCTATGTCTGTCTCCCTCACACAGTCAAGCAATATTCAATAGTAATAAGTAAATGACACATCTTGTTAACAAACATTTCAATTATGAGTAATATTCAAAAAGGAATCATTTTGTATTTAGTAGCAGGATGGTGAGAGAGAGCTGGAACCTTAGGATAAATCGACTGCCTGTTGTGGGAACAGGGAATCAGGGTAACAATAGACTGTTTCTCTGGAGTTTTAGACCCGCTGGGGTAGCTGGTGGCTTAAAGGTACACTATGCAACCGGTGTTGATTTTCCAGTGAGGCTCCCCCTAGAGGGCGAAAGTAAAAGTGCACTGTCGTAAATATGCACAGCTGTTCAAGCCAGGCGCGGTTGTTTTGAGCTTAGCAGACAGGCGAACGCAACGAATGACTAATGCTGCGTTCACACTGGACGCAGCTGGCGCGACAGAAGCAGCGAGTTTACATGCAAAGTCAATGGTTGACGCGCGTCAAGGCGCAGCAAAAGGTCCCGCGGCAAGTTTTGAGCAGCAGGCGCAGCACGTCTGAGCAGCTGAAGCAGCGCGTCAGGCGCGTTTAAGCATCTGACGCAGGGAGAGAGACACAGCGCTGATGATCAGAGGCTATGATCACTCCTCTTAAACAGTTTATTGACGCCTAAATTAACTTAAAATGCAGAAATCTGCCAGCAGAATATGCAGTTTGGATTATTTAGATGAAAAACACCTACCAGCTGCCGCGGTGAACCGCGAGGAGGCGACCAGGCCAGAGGCTGCTGATGAAGGGATTCCTAGGCGCACCGCTGGTATGTGGGGGTCTGAGCGGCTCCGACAGAAAAAATATTGAAGGCAGGATAATAATCTGAATGAACTGACGGCACTGATTACGTTTTCAGGTGTATTTTCTCACTTAAACACATATTAAAACTACTTTATTCCCACTGATCACAGCAAATATAGCTGCAAGGCAGAGAAAGGATAGTGAAGCTCCGCCCAACGCGCCTCAGACACACTTTTGCACCGCGCAGCCAGAGCAGCAAAGCTGCTTCAGCCGTGCGTCAGAACTAACTGGTACAAGCAGTAAAAATGAAGCAGCAGACGCGATTTTACTGCGTCCGATGTGAACGTAGCATAACTGCACAAAGATCGCCACTGTGCTAGCAACGAGCATGTTTTTAACTGGGGGGTGTAGCAGTTCTCGCCATAGGCAAGACCGTCTCTCGCGAGACTTCTGAGCCTGTGGGTGCGGGTCGGTGCTCCTGCAATTGCAAGTGCAGTATTTCCCCCACAGACCACCAGGGCGGCCAAGAATACCTTTGTTCAAACTGAAATGACTCATTTAATCATCCAAAACGTTATGGAACACATTAATTAACTGAAAAATGTTGCATAGTGTGCCCTTAAAGGGCGATTTATACTCAGAAACCAGGTCGTCTGCGTGTCGCAGTAAACTAAGAAATGCCTCCGCCCCTTCTGCAGACTCTAATGCAACTCTCCGCAGTTGTAGGTGACCACAGACAGGATTGGTCAAATCTATATCCACTTTATGCGTATTTCCTGTTTGGTACCTTACCGGCTTGTTTTGTTTGTATGAACACCATTGTTGAAAACGACTCGTGAAGTTAGACCAGCTAGAAGAGCGAGATGCGCCAGATCGCTGGGACCCTTTTTCCACCTGGATCCCCGCTCTTTTTCGCCCTCATGTTCTTCCATTTTCGCACAGATTTGCCCCCACTTCCTCACCACGTTGGCCGTATCCAGACCCACAGCTAGTTCATGACTGTCCCTCTTGTGTTGTGGTGTGGAATAACATAGCACAGACCACGCTTCAATATTGGGCATAAATCAAAAATGTCTGCAACAAGCTCACAGCGACATTTTGCTACTGGAGTATAGCCAGGCTTTTAGGGACGATTTGCTACATAGATGTGTTCATCCTGCTGGCTGCTGCTGCTTTAGTTATAAATATGTGTTATTAAGAGGCTCAGATAGAGATAAAGTTGGAGAACTAAGCTCTAATGATGGACGTTTGTTTTGGAGTTAGGGGCAAAGTTGATTAATTAATACCTGCAAACATAAGTGTAGATTCCAGCTCATAGGCGGTAATATTAAAAAGACTGAGAGCAACTTCATGCTTTAGCTGGCGGTCGGATGGAACGCTAGCTTGCCAGACTCAAAAGTCGTACTTTACATAATCGCCATAGTGGTGTTCTGTGAGGTAGCAAGGATAGTCAGAACCTTTGCTTCAAAACAGCATCTTTTCTCCTTCCTGCTGCTGGAACCACACGCTGAACGGGCTCAAAAGCATAAGCAATGGGATTTAGACGCTTCAGTGTCCTTTCAGCTTCGTCGTCCATCATCACCAAATGTTTTAAGTGTTTTATGGTTGTGATGTATCACATCCAATGTATACAATTGCTAGCTAAATCATAGATGAACCCCGTAACATCACCGTTTGAGGTACTGCAACACAGCGGCGCCCTTACAAAAAAAAAAAAAGATTATATTACAAGAAAATAACATTTCATTTCCCCTTTAAAATTGTCTTTCCATTTGGCACGTAAGAGATGACTGCAGCTTAATCAGGCTTTTAGCTAGCCAGTCATACAGCCCTTGTTTTGTACGGCCCTTCCTTAAAAAAAGACATACAGCTTGTTTCCCCCCCGGAAGCTTTGCTCAAATGTTTAAAATATTTTGATCTGGTCTTCACCGGGCCACCATCTTGAATTCTCCTTCTAGTCTTGCCTAATCTCGCGATAAGCTCACATCTCGCCAATCGCGAGAGTCGTTTCCTTTTGGTCATATGTCAGCGTGACGCAAAGGGGCGCTGTTGTTGAAAATGAAATTAAATCTGAGATCATCGCCATGCCGTCAGGAACCTGGGAGTTGTCTTCGACCATGAACTGAACTTCAAACAACAAATAAATGCTCTTGTCAAAGCTAGCTTTTCCCAGTTGCGCTTTTTGACCAAGGTGAAACCCTTTCTCTCACGCCAAGAACTTGAGAAGGCGATTCACGCATTTATTAGTTCTCGATTGGACTACTGCAACGCCCTCTACTCTTGCCTCCCACAGTCGTCACTCCAACGGTTACAGTTGGTACAGAATGCAGCAGCTCGTCTCCTCTCTGGCTCATCCAGGCAAAGCCACATCACTCCCATCCTCTCCTCCCTGCACTGGCTCCTGGTCCGTTTTTGGATCGATTTTAAAGTTTTAACATTTGTTTTTAAAGCCCTTCATGGTCTTGCTCCCAGCAGAGCTCTCTGGTCTGCTGATCAAATGGTTCTGGACGTCCCTAGATCCGGGTATAAACAGTGGGGCGATCATTCCTTTGTGGTTACCGCACCTAAACTGTGGAACAACCTGTCACTCGGTCTGTGGGTTCTCACTGATCTGCACCTACGGGCTTTTAAAACTTAGGACACATTGTTTTATTCTTATGATTTTAGTTTTGCAATGTTTTTATCTTTCTGTGAAGCACTTTGGTCTTCCTGGTGTTGTTGTAAAGTGCTATAAAAATAAACTTTGATTTGTTGTTGTTGGAATATCTAATATCTTTACAGACAATTTATTGACGGGAACAAGCATGTTGTGCTGTTTGCAAACAGGTAAGCGTGAAACTTTAAAAAGTTTAGGAAAACTCATCAAATGCCTGATAACTATGGGATTATTTTGGACGTTTGTTTGTTCTTTGGGACAATACTGTCCGTTAGTGATGGGATCATGAGGCGGGATGAAGCGTTCGACACATTAGCAAACTGTTTTGATATTGTGTCGATACTGTGTCACTGAATACTGACACCTGCTAGACTTTTAAAATTCCTAAGGGCAGCCTCTTTGACAGACTAAACTGACAGCGATTTGATGCCCTACAACAGGGGTCTTCAACATTCTCCAGGCCAAGGACCCCCATAGTGATAGCGAGATGGAGCAGGGACCCCCTAATTATATATATTGTAT